CTGTGAAGTGCCTTTTTTTTTCCCTCCTCCCGAATCCATTCCTCATGTTATCCTTTTCTCTCTCTATTAAGGTAGCGCGACTCGGTTGCGAATGACCACGGTCACCAATTCTTGTCATGTGTCTTGCCCAGTATGTCTGATCTCTGAATTGTGTGTACTGAAACTCTAATTTCCCTTCCCTGGGACAAATAATGCTTTACATTTCGTTTCATTTCAAATACTCATTATTAATGAGTCTGTAATGGCCATAACTTCAGCCCCTTGTGCTTGTATCCGCAGGTAAAATCATGTGCTGTTCTTTTCTCCTGTTGTTTCAGGCTCTGAATGGACTGAGTGAGGAATCCTCCACTGATGACTTGGACTTCCCCCTTCTCACCCAGTGCTTCCTGTCTTCAATCACCCAGCTGCTGCCTTTCCTTCGTACCCTTTGTTGCTCTTTTCAGGCCCCTCCCCCCTGCAGCCAACCTGAGGTCAACTACCTCATTGCTGACTACCCAGCAGCCAGTTCGCACACCGTCCTTAGAAGGCTGGAGATCATCATTGAAAAAGATTTTCTGGACTCTATGGAGAGTTAAATTTTAAAAAGTACCAGTGATTATAGTGAACTAACTTAAAAGGAAATGTTTTGGAAAGCTGCTTTTTAATGTTTGATATTCCTGAACTCTGTTTATGAGTCTGTAATGGTAAACCAAGCTATTTATGAACGTTATATGAAAAATATGTTGCATGGAACGTTACTGGGAATGCATCTTTCTCACCAAAGAATGGTGTTATTGCTACTTCAAATGACTCTTTAACACAAAAGCAGTCATGTACCAGCTTCATGTTGTTTAGCATCTTAAAAAGAAAAATGTACCAACCATAGTTTTATTTTCCTTTACAGTAAACTGTGAAGACCCTCATTGGGCATCATTAGTGCTTCTTGCCATAACTGTTTAGCTACAAGCTGTATAATAAAGTTGCAAATGCTTGTCTGACTCTTAGGATTGTTTAAAAAAAGCTAAATAAATGTTTTCTGTTAGGATTTTTAGTGGTAAGCCTCTGTCATGGATTTTATCAATATGTTTATCAATAACCTATTTCCTGTAGTCTAAGAGAAAAGGAGACAATGAGACAACAAGTCAACCAGTTATAACTGTGGCATATGCACGAGGCAAAATGCCTTTGAACATCTGGTCACAGAGTTTATTTATACCAAAAGATAAGAAAAGAGAGAGAGAGAGAGAGAGAGAGCGAGAGAGAGCGAGAGAGCGCGAGAGAGAGAGAGAGAGAAGTCAATGTGTGTGTGTGTGTCTGGCTTATGTGGGTTTGTCTGAATAAGTGAGCATGCAAAGAGGCATAGGGCAATACATATTACATTCAGTTGATTGAATCAATGATCAAGAATTAATAAACATAAAATTTCCATAACAGCTACTGCATGTGCTTTATTCTGGGATCATTTTGGGAAATGTTGAGTGCATCAATGCTTCCTGGTGCCGTGCCTGC